AGGTATACTTTAAAGTTTGATCAAGATGTCTTTAAAGGTTTAAAGTTATGCCTTGGCCCAGACACGTACATATTACTGTAATGTATACGTCTCTGCTTGGAAAAACTTCGATACAAAAATAAATAAACAAAGGGTCAAAACTTTGTATATACTATAGTGGGGCACAAGCCAACTTGGTAAGTGCCCAGAAACGACGCCTGGAACGGGTAGGAACAGAAGCCTAGAGTAAGACCAAATTCACTTATACTTTATTTGCACTTTTGTACTAATATTCGGAATATATCTATAGTATGAGTGAAAATTCAGTCTCAACATATGACATAGACATATCATCCTGAATTATATAACAGTCTTTTCTCTGAAAAATGGGTGCGGGGATTCATGAAAATAAATAAACCCCCTCCCCTTATAATTACCTGCCAACGAAACTTTTAAAACTATGCTACACAATTCCATTTTGAAATATGAAATATTTTTCGGTGTTATTCAAAACATCGATTTAGTGCCGTCGAATATTATATAGACTTTGAGTAAAAAACACACCACTCTGTTTTAACCTTGTTGATGTAATGTCCTATCTTTAGTATTTGGGTATGACCGGCTTTACTGTGTCATCTATCTGTACCTATAGATAGTTGCACAACCCTTCACATGTTAACACAGTGACTCACAACCGTTTTATCGACTGGTTTTACCTTGCTCAGGTAAACAATTAAAAAATGGCGACCGTTGAAGACGTCAGGTAACACAGGTAAGATTTCTATCACGGTCTGATAATCTACAAACAATTTAATACATTTTCTTCATTCAAACATTATAGTTTGTTTAAGTTGATATTATTGGATAAACATAATGAATCACGGATTTATTGATCTGGTAACAATTTGACCAAATACATGCAGTAGCGCTGTATATCACTGCTTATAGTTCCTTGTTACAGGTACAAATACGGATGTTGTTCAAACAACTCGATGGTGTATAAATAATAAGAAAATATTAATTCGAAAAATTATATTTATGTTTTATTAACTAATTAAGCGGTGCATGTAAATTGTACTAATGTAGTATATCAGTATGTATAGAATATAGGGGTCGCGTGATCATTTATGTTCAGGTATTGTTCACAAATGAATTGATAATTGACTGTTGCAATTCACGTCCTGATATCTGATCATGAGTGAGTAAGTAAAACTGTACATGTACTTATGTTCGTCTTTAACATCCGTAACAGTATACTTGGGCTTAGCCCGAGTTTCCTCTGTCAGATTCCGACATTTTGACAGATGGATGTCTGGTGTGGGCCAACCAGACATCTATCTGTCAAAATGTCTTAATCTGGTCAGGGCCAGAGGAAACTTGGGCTTGTCTAGGGTTGGTCACAGGCACTACTCTGTAACCTAGATGGGGATTCAAACCTGTGACCTCCGAACTCGGATGCACAAACCGATCAAGGTACCTGAGCTCAGTCCTGCAACATTAGAGTTGCTCTTTGGTCCAAATCTTAGATCTTGGTCCAACCCAACACAACATGCAATGTACAATCAATTCTTATTGTGTTACTCATATTGAAATTTGTGTAAAATGATACCCTAGCTGTTTTACCTACCATGCATTATCATAACCACATGATGAAAGTTTTAATGATATTATTATACATTTTTCGTTCTAAGGGGCACAATTACGTTGGAGATGTAAGAAGGCAAAGCTGAAGCATGCTTTTCGTGTGGACTACACCCATATGGGTGTTGCTGCTGACCCCCTTGGGGATAACTGCCCAATGGGCAAGCTGGGAAAACCAAAACCCTACAAACACCAAGGAAAACTGTAAGCTTTTTTACATCAATAATCTCTCAGGAAAATTTAATTTCCTGTATATTTTTTAAAGTGAATATGGATAATTTTGCTTAATTCTGAATTTACGTAGGAAAATTTCAATAGACTGGAATTATTTTTGCCATTTCTGTCCTATTCTGAAGTATCCCTGTTTGTATATGTCTTTTCAGTTTTCATGGACTCCAATGCTGAGTGTAACAAGCAGTATGACATTGGAGAGAACAACGCCCTTCTGCACGGTCACGGTGCTTTGTTAGAGCAGCAACCCCCAAAGACCTGCCAGATCACATTCAGCACTGACAGTGTCCGTGAGAAACGCAAGTTCAGGATAGAGGTCATTAGTGCAAGCTTCGATGCTGATGGAGTACAGTTCTATGTCTACGACAGTTCTACAACAGACACTTTGCTGGTGAGCTCATCACATTTCACATAGACCTTTTTGAATTCTAGCTGTTTAAAAAATGGTGGCTGGGTAGAGCAGGTATAAGTGCACTTGCCTTTCACCAAGACAGCCAGCATTCCATTCTCCGATCAGAAGTGAACAAGGGGCCCAATGGGCCTGCATCACCCACCTGGTATACATCTCACACTTGGTACCTTAAAAGTGATCTTAAATAAAGCTCAAGGCAAACTATCAGTATTTATGATTTAAAGTCATTCAAAAGAACCTGTTAAAAGATTTTAAAACATTTC